TTTGGTGCTCTTAATCCAGAAGAGGTGTAATAATGAGGTTCAATTTTGGGTGATGCTGGATCTTTTACCTCAAATGATACTGGATCTTTTCACGGCCGATCTTACATAATCAGCTTTCATTTGGGGCTACTGAGGGTTTTAAGTAAGAGGGCTCGAGGGTGGTCATGTGGCCTGACAGCAGGTACTGAAATAGTCCCCATTAGGCAATACACAGTTTTGGCTTAGAATGAAATGGTTGTGTGTCGCGCTGTGAGAGGCGTCGGTGTGTGGCACACTGCTCTGCCACGTCTGCCTCGCTTGTGCTTGGGGGAGGACAGGAGGGGGAAGGCTGGGCCGCTGGTTTATAACTTGGAAAACCACATTACTTACAGGGAGGGCAGGTAAATGGACTTTTATGGCGTCTTAATACTTACCCTGCTTTCAGGGAAGGGTAAGTGAGCATCTGAGTGATGGCTGAGGGATGAGCTGTAATTGGGATGGGAGCCCAGGGCAGGGGGATAGGACCTGTCACAGGTCCACATGCAAAGAATTTGTCCTAAAGCTGCTGCAGTGACTGAACAGAAAAGCATAAATGATCACGGAACGCGTTTTGCTTGAATATGGCTCAAGGTTTAGTGTGACACGTGCACCTCTTGGGCAGCGATGAAGCCTGGCAGGTCAGCTATTGATAATTAGAATTAACTGTGTGCTTAGAAAAGAGAGGGAGTAGTTATATAGTGGTTGTAGGAAAAGGAAGAGGAGGGTGTTGTGTTGCTGATGGAACTAGAAAATAAAAACTGCTACTACAGTAGTGAAATGCTTCACTCCAAGACTGATCTGTGTGGAAACAGCAGGGAAAATGGCATGTGTGGACTAGAATTTAAAACAAACAAACAAACAAAACCAGGAAAAAACCCAAACACACACACCCAACTGTCTACTGGCCCGAGGATCGCAAGATCCACAAAGCAGTCACTGATTTGTGCAAAAATTATTTCCTTTCCTTGACTAAGGAAGATGCACCCAGAGCGATTTTCTGTTTCTGCTGTAGAAAGGGGAATTGTTGCCGTGTCCAAGGTGTTCTGTATATCCGTGTGCAGGAATGATCTGTCAGTGCTGCATCCTCTGGAATACAGCAGCCTTAAGGACAGGCGAAGCGGATGGATGTCAAGATCCCAGAGTTGAAAATAAAGGTAGTCAGCGTAGTCCTGTTCCAAGGGACTGCTGGTACAGTCTCTTGAAACCTCATGGCACTCAGTATACGATACGTTTTGTGCACCACAGGTGGGATTTGTTGTATTCTTTCTGGTTTTTACGTATGTATTTGTAATGCAGCTGTCTTCTGCTGTTAAGCTTATCTATCTATTGCTTCCCTCCATTTCCAGGTTTTCTCTTGGAAACGATTTTCTTAAACTTTTCCTTTGCCATGTCTGGAATTGAAAAAGCAAAACAAAACCGAAGGGGGTGAGGGGGGGAATCCCAAACAAAACCGGGTCGTATTATTTCTGCAGCGAGCACGTTGCTCCCAAAGGCTGTGCTTTCGGAGGCTGCGTTCTTGTAAACTCTTTAAGCTTTCTTTTCTCCTTATGTGAAATAAGGCACTCCCCAGATGTAAGAGTACTGGCTTGTGTGTGTAGATGGGTTGAGTCAGACAGCAGAGGTGGTTGCTACCGTTAATTGCTCTGTCTCCATCCGAGCTGAATAGCTGCACTGGAGTTGAAGTAGCTTCTGAAAAGGAGAAAAGCAAACAATCTGGGCAATAATTCCTTTGGCTATCAGACTTCCCTCTGGCATCGTTCCTGAGTCAGGATGATAAGTTTATGCTCAACACTTGTGACCTTGAGGAGGGTTGCTTGCAGTATTTTTAAGACAGAAGTACTTGGGCGAAGATGCTGTCTCTGTACCGGGTGAAGCTCTCCTCTCCTCTCTGGTACAAACGTCCAGCCATTCACACACAGTATTGCTTCTTTTCTACTCAGAAGTGATAGTAAGAGACACAAATATCCCTTATTCATTGGAAAACATGGAATGACGTTTAAATTCCATCCATGAGAACATGTTCTTTCAGAGCCTCTTTGAAAGAGCCTGGGACTGCTTGTTTCATCAGTGTTTGCTGAGAGCTCTTTAAATT